GAATGTCATCATCATTCTCAGGCCCTTCTGTCTTCTCACTTCACACTATACACAGGAGAGATCCTTCATATTTATGGTTGCAATTACCACCTACACACCAATGATCCACAAAAGTGCAATTTCAACCTCTCCCCTGAACCTGAAACTGAAATATTCAAGTGCCTTTTAGACATCTCCTGTTTAATGTTCCAAACTCAACATGTCCACAACCACCTTCATAATCTTCTCCTCTAAATGGGACCCCCTTCCAGTGTGTTTCCCCTCCCTACAAATGACTTCACTAGTCAGGACATTCTGCATTCACAGAATCTTCTTCTTCACATTTCATATGCAATACATTATTATGCACAATGGATCTGTCCTGAAAAATCTCTCAAATTGATCCACTACTGTTTATATTCACCACCCCAAGGCCCAGGGACCTTCATCTGCACCAAGACTACTATTGGCCACCTTACTCCTACCTCCATGCTAATCTGTTTTCAACTTAGTAGCCAAAGTAATCTTTAAAAATACTCATAAGTCTGGTCATTTCACTGCCTTGCTCTAAAGCCTTCAATCATTTCTTAGTCTCTGATCAGAACCTTATCATGGATATACAAGGCTTCCTCTAGATTCTCTCCCTCCTTATGCTTTCTCACACTCTGTGCTCTTGTCATACTGCCATTAGTTCCTGAGAAAGGCTGAGCCTCTACCTGCCAGAGGAGACTGTGCATGGCTCCCTTTGAATGAAATGCTCCGCTGGCCACCACGTTAATCCTTTGGTAACACAATTGCAACTCACCCTCCAGATCTTAACTCAGACAAATTGTAATTTTTCTAGGAGAAAGGCTTCTTGCCCCCTCCCTCCAACCTAGTAGGCTCCCTTATACCACTATGCACCTTTCCATCAAAGAACTTACCTCATTTCTTCATTTTAGTTTTTGTTGTTATTGTTGCTGTTGTTTTGTAGACTGGGTCTTGCTCTGTTGCCCAGGCTGGAGTACAGTGGTGTGATGACCACTTATTACAGCCTTGAACTCCTGGGATCAATCGATCTTCCCACCTCAGCCTCCCAAGTAGCTAGGACTACAGGCTCACACCACCATGTCTGGTGAAATTTTTGTATGTTTTGTGAAGACAGGGTTTCACCACATCGCCCAGGCTGGTCTCAAATTCCTGGGCTCAAGTGAACCTCCTGCCTTGGCCTCTCAAAGTGCTGGGACTACAGGTATGAGCCACTGCACCCAGCCCTCATTTCTAATTTTAAATTTGTTTGGGGGTGATAACTTGATTGGTATTCCCTGTCCTCAGTAAACTGTAAGACCCATGTGAACAGGATCATGTCTACTTTGGCTTACAGTATTCATAGCACTGTGCCTAGCATATGGTATGTGATTGACCGATATAGCTGCTGAATGGAGGTGGGAATAGGTGATTGGATGAGTGAATAAACGAATGAACGGAAATAGTCAACATTAATCCTATAATTGGCAAGCACTGTCATTCCAGCTGGGAGGTCTTGGGTGGTGGCTAATACAAGAGACTGAGTCATGAAATAGAATGTAAAAACTGAATTTTTAATGATTTCAAGATTTGTGTAAATAAGAAACTCCATTCAAGCGACCCCTGGGGTGGGCCCTGCCTCAGGCATGCTGGGACCTCAGCACCCCAGGACAGAAGAAAAGACAAAGAGCCCAGGGCCTACAGCACACGTCAGTTCAGGGCCTGCTTTGAGGTGAGGAGCTCAGGAAAACAGTCCAAGTTGCTTAGATTAACACTTGGACACTCAGAGTTGACAGAAAGTTTAACACAGAGTTCAGTTCCTGTTACAAAGAGCAGTCTTACAGGGGTTTGCCATACCTGTCAGTCAGCTGTAAAGACTTTCCAATCAGATAATACACACGAGAGCCTAGAGAGAAGACAGGAAGGAAACTGGTCAAACTGGCTGTCTGATCAAATTGGCTCTCTTTACATGGCTGAGCGCTCTCATTTCAGGGAAACCATTTGTGCATCTCAATGTTCCTCACACTGATGCCAGCATTCTTTTTTTCATTTCTAAAATGTTTTCCAGCTCTCATGTAAATCTGGTCTATAATTCAGCAAAATTATTTTTAGGAAAGAAAACAAACTGTTTCATCTTTGAACCTAAAGTGAATACAAATTTTAAAAACTTGTTTTGGAAATAGTACGATGACTTCTCTGTATCTGAATATACCATGCAACTATGGGTGAAAAACAAAACCTGCAGTTAACAACTATAATTTGTAAGGTTGCATTGTTAGCCTGGGGAGCTACCAAGGATGTTCGGAACTAGGAATTTTTAAAATGTCATGACAACTGGTGTTCTTTAACATCAGACAAATTAATTTTATCTATCTACAAAAACTTACCAAGTCTCAGACTCCCTAGTAAGTTGTGTTTTGTTTTTGTGAAACTTTTCAAGCTTTTATCCATTTTTTATGTCTATGATATTCCTACCTTGATGTGACCATTTTCAGTTATTTGCAGAGCCTGACTGGATGCACACAGCATGCGTACAGAGAGTGAAGGAAAGAAAGAAAGAACAGACCCAGGAAATGCCTTTCCTCAGAGGCATGATATTGCCAAGGCTCAGACTTGACTTTGCAGTTTTCCAAACTTGTCTCTGTTTCCATTAGCAACTGTGAAATACAACCAGCAGAGTGTTTCACATTGAGACTGCTTTTGCCAGTAGGTTGTATAATTAGATTGAATATGCTTAATCTCTCCTAGAGCTAAAACATGGAAAGATTTCATTTGATGAATTCAAAAAAATAAACAGTGGAAAGTATTTAAAACTGAAGCATTTGTGGGTTTCTAACATCAATACATAATGTCTTTTCCTGGTTTGGTTTCAGAAGTTGCTCTCTAGAACTGCTACATCTAATGGTGAGGTTTGTAAAAAATTTGTTGCGGTTGCTTCATACAATGGGGGCCAGAATAAAAAGCGATTGCATCATAATATCATTCATTAGCGAGTCAGGGGAAGGAAACAAAGCTGTCCCATTCAGTAAACGACCTATGATGCTAAGGCAATATGTTTGGCCTAATGGGGGAGAAGTGAACCAAACTCGTGCCTCTATGATCTTGCAACTAATTAAGAAATATTTTGGTGTTCAAAATAATAAATAATGCAACAATGACTATTTTGCATGTCTTAAAATTGTCAAAAAAATTATTATTATTTTTTTTTTTAGACGGAATTTCGCTGTTACCCAGGCTGGAGCGCAATGGTGCGATCTCGGCTCACTGCAACCTCCACCTCCCCGGTTCAGGCGATTCTCCTGCCTCAGCCTCCTGAGTAGCTGGGATTACAGGCACGCGCCACCATGCCCAGCTAATTTTTTGTATTTTTAGTAGAGCCGGGGTTTCACCACGTTGACCAGGTTGGTCTCGATCTCTTGACCTCGTGATCCACCCGCCTCAGCCTCCCAAAGCCCTGGGATTACAGGCTTGAGCCACCGCGCCCGGCCCGTCAGCATCAAAATCCTTTGTGCTGACGAGGATCAGAGGAGATTTCTTGCAAGAAAATATCAGTTGAGCTGAACCTTAAAAGAAATAAACAAATGCCCAGAGGTAAGAAGCACAAATGCCATCTAATTCCTGCCCTAGTCTAAAATTCCACTACAGCAATGATCAAAGTATCCATTTTGAAAACAATAAGTAGATTTTCTGAGTATTTTAAACTCTATTTCTTTATTTTTTATAAAGTTTAAATACTAGAAGTGGTACTAACAGAACTCTAATTGCCTAAACTAATACATAGAGTCCCATTTCTCAAGGTAAGTAAAGAGATTGGTTTTATTTTCCTTTAAATTTCACAGTCACATAGGTATGCTTTTTGGCGTTTGTTTGTTTGTTTGTTTTACCACAGGTAAGGATTAAATCAGTCTGAAATATGCTAGGTTTAAAAGCTTTACTTAACACACTTTCATCTGAAGATGGCTTCACCATCCTAATACATCAAATACTTCCTCTTCCATATACCTAATGTGTAGTTACTTCCCACTAGGTACCATTTATGCCGAGAAGCTAAAAGGTCTTTACTCTCTTCAGACCTGTTCATCCCAACACAGTCTTTCCTATGTGTTGGAAAGACACACACACACACACACACACACACACACACACACACACACACACACACACATTGTGGGAAAAGGAATAAAACTCTGCCCCCTGGTATCTCCTCATTGTCGTGCAGCTATTCCCTGAGAGCCCATAAAAAATTGCATCATCAAGAGTGACTGTGTGTTAACTTCACACATTCTGATAAGCTCAGAATTACAAAATCACCGCTGACTGACTCCTCTGTGTGTGTGTGTGTGTGTGTGTGTGTGTGTGTGTGTGTGTGTAATATATGCATAAATGAGGGATGGTGTTAGAGAAACTTCTCTTCTATTCCCCTCTGCTAGGGGAGGGGTTTCAAGTGCAGGAATTTCCTGGGGCTCTTTGAGCACCTCCTCCACACCTCCATCTGGAGACCAGAGGGGTTTCAAACGCAATTCTGGCTCCCTGCCTCAGGCAGCTGGAGCTCTTTGAGCATCTCCTCCACTCAGGCCAGGCAAGATTGTTTGTCTGATCTTCCAGCTAGGAAAAACCAGGTAGGGCTCTTTTGTCCCAAATTCCCACCATAAGCTCTGGGAGGAGGGAGCTCTGTAACTCAGGGATGTAAAACAAGTAGCCAATCAGGCATCAGAGTCAAAAATCAATCAATTCAGAGGAAGTTTGAAAGAACTCCCCTCATTGGACGAAAACATGAATGGGGAGGGAATAATTCAAGAGTTAAAACTTCAGCTGCTCCTACCTGAACGGATTCCTTCTCTGGGTCCCCTCCCACAACAGCATGGGAGCTGTCTTCTTTCTCTCTCTTTGTCCAAAAAAATTGCTCTTACACAAAACTTTTTGGGTCCACGATTCAGACAGTAAGCTTCTGGGGTCCCTTTCCCCATTCTTTGGATTAGAGAGGCCAAGAGCCTACCAGCCGGCTACAATCCTGTTTTCGTGGGGGTCTAACTGTTTGTTAGGATTCCTGGTTTCCACCCAGGTGGCCCGGGATCAACTCCCAGTGTGGAAACCAGGCAATCCAGTTGAAGTTTTACTCTCCCGGTGACATAAATATATACATGCAGAGACAGATATAGAGTAGTTGCCCAATCTCTCTTGACTGTCTCAGATGTAGAGAATGCAACATGTTCCAAGTAAGCCTTTTTGCAAGTACTAATTTCTTCAGTTAGCTGTCATTCAACCAACAACAGCACCTGTTGTGATTTCATACTTTTTAATTTTGAAATCAGATTATCTGGGGGTGGGACCTAAAGCATCAAGCTTTTGACAGCTCCCAGGGAGAGCTAATATTCAACCAAGGAAGCTCCAAGAGAATGGGATTGTTGTGGGAGTTATTAAGAAATTATTTTAGGCAGACAGGAAGGAAAAGTGATCATTGGGAAGTTGTCATTTTTAAAACATCTCGGGAAAAATTTCTTGTAAAGCCCTGGCTCTTAGAGCCAGGGCCAGCAAACTTTGATATGCAAATGCAGGCCATTAGAAACCGGGTCCACCCAGCATGGCGATTCCCGTGGCCTTCTTGCCCTTGCCTCACATGTGTCTGGTAGCATGGCCGCCCCCACATATCCCCACATGTGTGGAACATCATGGTGCTCTGTATTTGCATATTAAAAGGCTAGGGTGGGAGGGCCTATTTTTTTTTTTTTTTTTTTTTTTTTTGCAGGCTATGTCAATGACACGTCTGTTCAAACCAATCCCCTGAGCCCTATGCAAATCAGACACTGCCTCCTCCAGTCATTGAATATAGCTGGCTGATATTACCTGAAAGTGGAGTTCCCTCTCTCAGCTTTGGAGCCCATCCCCCACCATCTCTGTACAAGGGAGCTTTTTCTTTCTTTCTTTCCCCTTCTTTCTTGCCAATTAAACTCTCTGCTCCTTAAAACTACTCCACGGATGTCTGTGTCATTTTTTTCTAATTCAACTGGAGATGAAGAACCTAGTGTTCCTCCACTCCTTGGAGCCATATCAGGATCATGTCTGTCACTCTGTCTTGTTTGTTTAGTGGTGGACCACTAGCCCGTGCACAGTGCCTAGGCATGGGAGGCTCTTTTAAAAATGATTAATCAATCAAATTGGGATTAATAAAAATAGTACATGGTTAATTAATAGAAGTAATTAATTGAGGTAACAGAAAAAGACTCTCAGTAGAATAGGAACAATCATTTGAAAAGTCTCATAATTTAATTCTGGTGACATAATCAACCCGCACTCTTCCACTGCCACAGTTGGGAATCACTAAATTGTTCTACACAATGTTAGAACGGGAAGGGCCTTAGAGATGACTTGGTCATTGGCTTTCAGCCTCTGACAAGCAGTATCTGCCAAACCTAGTTTCTTAGTGGAAACTCAAGGATGGATAAGGGGATGAGGGGAAGGTCAAGCAAGTGGGGACCCAGCCTCCATGTCATCTCTCCAACAGAGGAGCTTTGCTTTTATTCATTCATTCAGCAACTACTTGCTGAATATATACATTTCACCAGGTTTATGGTTATGCTAAGGAAACAGGAATGAGAAAAACAATTGCCATTCTTATAACTCACAAATGCCATTGTTTTATTTGTTGAGTTCTACCTAAGATTTCCTCTGAAAAAGAGCTCTGAAGATAGATAGATTATAGATAGATAGATAGATAGATAGATAGATAGATAGATAGATAGATATGTAAACAAACTAAAGGCTTTGTACTTCTTCATTTTATAAAGAAACTGAGATTAAGTGAATTACAGAATTAACTTGATAAAAAACATGTCAGAACCAAGAGTGAACTCTACTTTCTCTATCACCAAGCCCAGCAGTCTATCCATATGACATGCCACATTATAGAAGTAGTGGTTTCATGAAAGAGCTGAGACTGCATACAAGAACAGATTGCTACCAACTCCCTTGTGGAACTTAGAGTCCTGTAAAAATGGAACTGCCAGTAGCTCAGTATATTGGTCAGCATAACTGGTTGCAAATACCTGAAACACCAGCTCAAACTGGATTGAGCCATGCAGAGAACCTACTGATTCACATGACTGAAAAGTCCAGAAGGAGATGAGGAGGTACAGTTTCAGAAGATTGATCCAGTGATTTATACAGAGTGACTGGACTATAGTTCCTGCCTCTTGTTTCTCAGCAATATTGCCTTAGCAATGGCTCCATTCCCAACAGACATTCTCTTTGAAGTCTTAAGAAGGTGTCCAGGCTACATATTTTCAACAGAAAAAGAGAAAATCTGCTTCCCAAAACTGGAATCCCAGAACCTAATCTTAGGGATCCTAATTTATCTGTACCTATTGGGCTAATATGCTGATGGGCTTAAGGTGACTGAGAGCTCTGAATTTGATTGTATATGAATCTAACTGAGCAACCCAGTTAGCCAATGAGAATTCTAATGAGAAATATAAACTTTTAGAGTTTATTAAACATTCAAACATGAACACCAAAACATAATAGTGCTAGTGTTTCAGGATATGTTTTTCTTTCTTACAATGTTAACGTATTGTTCAAATTTTTATAAGATAATACTTAAATAACCAGTGTAAAAAGTTAGCAATATGCATTTGACTCTTAAACATCCAAAGGTATTTTGTCTTGGTTATACAGTGGTTGATAAATAAAAACTGTAGACTTATTTACAACCTTTCCTCAAACTTATGGACTTGCTCCTAAGTGCTAAATAGCCACAAACAAAACATACTCTTCTTGCTTTTAAGTACAACTTTAAAAGTAAAAGATGGCACACTTGGTGCGAATGCTCAGTTGTTGCTTTTAATTATAAATACATTTAGAGGAACAGTTTTTTAATGTGTTGACATGAAACAATGCTTTGTTTTGTTTTTTTATGATGCTTACATTAAGCTTACACTGTCCCCACTGATAGTATCTGCCATCTCCTCTTCTGAAATTATAACATTTCTGAAACTGTATGAATTGGTAGAAATTATTTTATGTGTATATGTACAATCATAAGTTATTTTTAAATTTTACTTTCTCCATTTTATTTCTTAGGCTTCTCTTAACAGTTCAAATTTGAGAAAAAAAAATTAGTATCATTAGACATTCATAATATTTGTGAAGATATTTACAATGTGGAAATCATAAAGAGGGTAACCTATCTTCATTTTCCTGTCTCCTAGTTAATATTTTTTTCATAAGTTTTTTTGTTTGGCATTGCCACATAATGACTGAAAAGTGCCTCTTACGATCTTCACGCCTGATACTGTAGAATGCAGGAGTGTTTGGGAAGCCTAACACAATCTTTGGAAGATTGTACCCAGGAATATTTGTTCACTATTTGGTTGACTCTATGGTGAAGATGTAATAATAGTTGACATTGCAAACACAATGTGCTCTGCATGTCTTTACATGTTCAAATCTTCACAATAACCTTATGAGGTATTATCTCAATTTCACAGATGAGGATTAGTTAACACAAAGAGGCTAATGTTCTCACATGACTCTTCTAAATGTCCTTTATTCTTATCTGTCTAATCTGCCTAGTATTATTCTCTCAAATCATAGAAAATTGCTTCTCAATGCTACTCCTCATGAGGTAAACAGGATATATTTTAAAATAACAATTATCCTAAAATACGAAAGATCAATAATAGAAACTACACGTGTAGATGTGAAGCAACTAGAATTTCCATTCTTAACAAGTAGGAATGTAAATAGGTACAACCACACTGGGAGAATCAATTTGATCTAACAAGTTATTTGACATGTTGTAAGTAAATGGGTAGATTACCTCCATTGCTTTGATTTGCAGTTATTTTAACTGTGAATAATGGCTGGTACTGAATAGCTATTGAGAACTACCAGACACTCCTGCTAGCACCCCAGAAAAGTGGGCCTTCCACCCTGTCACTGTTTACACAGCTGACACTCCCTTGATCCAACTTCTTTTCAATATTCCCTGCTCTCAGACACCTTATTTTCTGTTTTCTGCCCTAAGCTGTCCAGACCTGATAATCAGTGCTACTGTGAACTTTCCTTTTCGTCTGTTATCCGTGCTTTCCCTCCAGCTTACTGGCCTCAGCGGTTCTGGATGAACTTTCTCCTGTGCCCCTACCTGAGTCCAAATCAACCATGGCCAGTGTTTCCCTGGGATCAACCCATGGTTCCAGGTCTCTTTTCTCAGAACAACCTAGAGACAGTTGAGTTTCACAATAATTTTTCAGCAGAACTTCTCTAATAACAAGGATCATCTACCAGGGTTTATGTGAGGCCTGGATATACAGCCTGATAGTTGTTGCAAAAGTAATCACAGTTTCAGACCCTGAATTTTAGATTATTATAACTAGGTGCAAGCACATCTTTGTGAATCAAAATAGAAATGATTACAATTAATACATGTTTGCCAATGAGAAATACGTTTTTTTATTCTTGTAGCAAAAAAATCCGTGCTTGGGGATTCAATGAACTCTTGGAAAGTATTCTTTGCATCCTGCTGGTTGTGGAAGCATTTTCCTTGAAAAGTGTGTCGAGATGATTGAAGAAGTGGTTAGAGAACAGTCAGGTGAATATGGCAGATGAGGCAAAACTTCATAGCCCAATTTATTCAACTTTTGAAACACTAGTTGCGCCACGTATGATCAGGCATTGTCCTGGCAGAAAATTGGGCCCTTTCTGCTGACCAATGCTGGCTGCAGGCTTTGCAGTCTTTGGTGCATCTCAGCAATTTGCTGAGCATACTTCTCAGATGTAATGTGTTCACCAGAATTCAGAAAGCTATGGTGAATCAGATCGGCAGCAGATCAACAAACAGCGACCATGACTTCTCTTTGGTAAAAGTTTGGTGTTGGGAAGTGCTTTGAAGTTCTTCTTAGTCCAACCACTGAACTGGTCGTCACATAAGATCTACTTTTCAGCATGTCACAACTGGATCGAGAAATGGTTCACTGTTGCTGTGTAGAATAAGAGAAGGCGACACTTCAAAATGACCATTTTAAAAAATTTTCGGTCAGCTCATGGGCACCCATTTAGCGAGCTTTTTCACCTTTCTAGTTTGCTTCAAATGCCAAA